GGCCATGGTGGTTACAGAGGACAAGAAGGCCATGGTGGTTACAGAGGACAAGAAGGCCATGGTGGTTACAGAGGACAAGAAGGCCATGGTGGTTATGAACCATAAGGACATGGTGGCTATAGAGGATAATGAGGATGTGGAAGCTATAGAAAATCGCAAAGTCAAGGCGATGCCCAGGAGATTCATCCCAACATTGTTCATTCAAAAGAGGGAACTACTTAAGATCGCCAGTAAGCCATGTAGTACCAGTATACCCTACTGCTAGCTAGCCGGTCGCGACCTAGATCCCCAAAAGAGAAACCCCTAAAATATGTCCAGTACATCTCCCTCTTTCGCAGCAAGATCGTTGGTTATCTTCTGCCAAAGACGTGGGCACCTGACTCGAACTTGAGATTCACGGTGTGCTTTCGCAGATTGCGACCCTTCCCGTAGATGTCCCTTCACCTGTTGACGCAAAGAATTCTGGCTGAATGGTTGCACTATGTATACCATACGCAGCGAGACAATCTCGAATGACCGAAGCCAACTGCATGTATTGCTCATGGCTATCCTTGACGACCTTGTGATCGACTTCGATATGGACCGTAGCGATCACATTCGTGTCGCTGAGTTGCCATACGTGCAAGGCATGGCAGTCCGCAACGCCAGGGAGCGTGGTGATGTCCTGTTTGATCTCGTCGGCGTTGATCCCCTCGGGGACGGCTTGCAAGAGGATTCGAGACGCCGCCGTGCACAGTGGGATAGCTGAATGCAGAATGATGGCCGTAATGATGACGGAGACAAGGGGGTCGGCATAGAACCGCCAGCTGAATTGTGTCAACCAGATGAAGAGCGCAGAAGCGATGACACCTATATTGCCCACAGCGTCCCCAAGAACGTGCAAGAAGACGCCTGCCATGTTCAGGTCGTGACCTTTGCCCTTCCCTTTGCCTTCATCATTTCGCGCATGGATATGGTCACCGTGTAGATCTGTTGGCTCAGCGCTGTTTCCAGATTGACTCGCGAGAAGGGGCGTGTTCTCTGTCTCTTGCTCGCCAGTGTCATCCACTGCGTGTGACTGGGCAGCCGCGATGACATCGGCACGAAAGGCCGTGGGGTGTATCGAAATCTGCGACAAGCTCGCTGCTCGTCTCGAACTATGTGCCTTGCGTTGTACGGACCGAATGTATGTTCCCTCGAATGTCATTCGATGCCCCGAGTTAGACATGTCCTCCGGAATATTGCTTGTTTCTGGCTCGGTTTTCTCATGCTCGTGTAAGAGTACCATGCCGAGGAGATTGGAGGCGAGCCCACAGCAGCCGACCACGAGAATCAGGATCGGGCTGGAGACTTCTTGGGGTTCGGCGAATCGTTGTATCGCCTCGAGGAAAATCGACATGCAGAGAGCGACGAGAAAGACTCCGTTGATCAGCGCACCAAGCGTCTCGGCGCGTTGCCACTGGGAAATGGCAGTTCAGCATTGTGAAAGTCACGGAGACAGTGAGCATAGAAAACGTACCCCATAAGTGTAAACACGAGATGACTTGCGTCGTTTTGCTACGTGAATAGCCCAGAGGCCGACCAGTAGTGACAGAATATCATTGAACTGATTGAAATGGTTAACACGGGCCACTTGGGCAGCAATTTTGGATACAGACCATGTGAAAGGCATCGGCCACCAACGCGAGGGAATGCACACTGAAGCCTGCAGTTTCCGTCAGCTAACATAGCTCGGCCATCCTCCAAAGGTGTGCACTTGCCCACAATCAACTCCACAAGGAAGAAGAGTATATCAATGGTGAGGAGCAAGACCAGCTTGGTCGTCTTGGATAGATGCAGAGCCATCGTAAATCATGGAGAAATAAACTGTGCTGAGGATATGGCATTCGCTAGCAACTAGAGCTGGCAAAGAGCGGTCGCCGCAGCTACACGCGGTGAAAACTTTTGCAAGTCTTGTCGCAGCCCTCGTCACGTGATTGTGCGGGCGGTAACGAGCCCAAATTGTTGGAATCGGCCTGCGTTGGCATCTGCACATGCGTGCTATGGTCACCAAGATTCGCCAGGGCTTCTCCAAGCTCGCCCAGCTGGCCAAGAAGGGTTGCAGGTGGTGCATTCACTTGTTTTCGAGTCATCGTAGACATCATCGCCTCACCTCGGACTAAGGTGATTGCCGCATACCGCTCATCGTCTTTTCGGCAGAACGGAGCGATTGTTCGACAATTCAGACCAGCACTTGCCCTCATGCATCCCGTCAGCGCCAGCGACATTATCCGGTAGACTCGGTACAGTAACACCCCATAGCGTCGATTGGAGCTGCATCGCACTCTTGTGTGTGGCGCAGACCGAAGTGCCAAGTGGTTTGCGTATGCTTCGTTGAAATTGTCGAGTGGGCCTTGGGTCGAAACGCCAGCCGGGAGCCCTTATCATCCTTCATATCAACCGATAATCGGCGAAAGGTTTTTTCTCTGCACAATCTTTTGATCCCTTACCAGCAAGTCCCATTGTCGTTGTGCATCTCGCAAGATCCCACTGAACACCTGCAAGCCCAACAGTATGGGCTCTTCTTGTTGTGGCCCGAAACCCGATCGCGGCGGTGACTGCTGCGGTGGCCCCGTGGCAAAGCCACCCGAATCGGCTCATTGTGATCCTTGCTGTGGTCAAACGAGCTGCGCCCCATTGGAACCGGACGCTGACGAAGGCGCCATGGAGCAGTGCAATGAGGACGACAAATGCGATGGTGAGTGATCCCTAAGTTCTTTTTGAAGTTTCACTGACAAAGGTTTGCAGAAAACTGCATCAAAACTGCCGCAGCGATCGAGTGCTCCATGGCTTGCGCTGATGAGCAGGATGAGTGCACCAGCGTTGCGGACGGCCACGAGCTGGACGAAAAACCCCCTCACGACGACTGTTGTGATCATGATCACGATCATGCCCAAGAAGATGGCCACATTCATGACCCGGCCGACCACGATCTTGCCCATCATGAACACGGACATCATAATCATGGGGGCCCGCAGACGAGTGGACATGTTCACATTAGCGCAGCGCACGAGCACGCTCATGGCAAATACGGAAAACACCTTGACGAACCTTGCAATGCCCACCTGAGCGCTGCCCTGGAGAAATATGCCACATACCTTAACTCAGCCCGGTGCATCTGTCGAACCATCCTCTCTTCGGCTGGCACAATCCAGTCTTGCCACGCACAGCCTGCGGATGGTGGCGTTGCCGCGTTTAGCATTTCCCGCAGCCATCATCTGAACGTGAAAGAGCACGGGAGGGTCTTGACACGCCAACGTTTCAACAAGAAGTCGCCAAAGGCGTTGGCAGCAACACAAGCCAAGGTCAAATGCTGTAACAGCGATGATAGTCTCGATGAAATCGAAGTGGAGCGTGTCCCCGTTCGCAAGACTGCATCGATCGACATTGAGAAGGCGGCAGGGCTGTCCCACATCCTTCTCAATGTCACGGGAATGGATTGTTCGGGCTGCGCAAACAACTTGACCCGAGCAATTCGGGCTGTGCAAGGGACTGACAACGTCAAAGTCACCTTCGTCGCTGGTGCTGCTGAATTCGACCTCGACACCAATATCAATGTCCTCGACGAGGTGATTCGCCGCGCCCAACGAGCCACCGGATATAAGCTGATACCGTTCTCGTCCGATACACAGAGTATCGACGTCACGATGAGTGCGGCAGCAGCAAGCAAACTTCAAAACAACATACCTCGTGGCGTCGAAAAATGCGAGAAGCTTTCCAAGACGACATATGAGATCAGCTATGACCCGTGCGTCATTGGTGCCAGAGACATGCTCGCGGGCATCGACGCACAGCTTGCACCTCCTCGTGGCGATTCCTATCTCGATGAAGGGAAGCGAAGACTCATTCGTATCTTCGCAATGACTACCGCGGCCTTCATCTTTACTGCGCCAGTCGTCGCACTCGAATGGGGAAGACCGTCTGGCGTCTCCGAGCACACCAGTTTGATTGTGGCGATTGTCCTCGGCACAATAGTTCAAGCAATTGCGGTTCCAGCGTTCTATATCCCCGCCATCTCGTCCCTGATCTACAACAAGGTCGTTGAAATGGACATGCTTGTGGTCATCAGCATCACAGCCGCGTATGTTTATTCCATCGTAGCAGCTAGTCTCGTCTTCTCCGGTATCGAATTAGAGACGAAACCGTTCTTCGAGACAAGTACGCTGCTGATTTCCTTGGTCCTGTTTGGTCGACTTCTTGCGGCGTGGGCCCGCAAACGAGCGGTGAAAGCGGTGTCTTTGAAGTCGCTGCAAGCGTTGACAGCCATGCTCCTCGATCAGGGAACCGGTGCTGTTGTTGAAATCGATGCCCGATTGCTTCAATATGGGGACACCATCGCAATCTTGCCTCATTCCCAGATTGTCACCGATGCTGATGTGCTCGAGGGAACCAGCGAGGTGGACGAGTCGATGCTCACGGGTGAGAGCTTGCCAGTTTTCAAAACTGCCGGAAGCCCGATCGTGTCCGGCACGGTCAACGGCGGCGGAAGGTTGACAGCACGGGTGTCTCGTTTGCCGGGGAAAAATACCATTACCGATATTGCAAACCTGGTTGAGCAGGCGCAGAGCTCTAGACCCCGCGTTCAAGACCTGGCTGATAAGATCGCCGGATATTTCATACCAGTCGTGTGCACGGCAGCTATTATTGTCTTGATCGTCTGGCTGTTGGTCGTCTTGAAAGTTCGCAAACAGCCTGCCGACGAAGCCATCGGAACAGCTATCGGCTATTGTATAGCTGTGCTAGCCATCAGTTGCCCCTGTGCGCTCGGTCTGGCAGTACCAATGGTTCTCGTGGTTGCTGGAGGCGTCGCTGCCCGCGGAGGCGTCATCATCAAGACTGCAGATGTGATCGAGCGAGGCTTCAAAGTTACCGACGTTGTCTTTGACAAAACGGGGACCCTTACTGAGCCGAGCCTCGAAGTCGTGGAGGAAGATATTTTTCCCACCGACAGAGTCAATAAGGACCAAATGCTCTCTCTGATCATAACTCTGGTGAGAAGCAACAAGCATCCGGTATCCGAAGCCGTGGCAAAAGCGCTCGAAAAGCGGCAAGTAAGTGGGGTCGAGGTCGACGGGCTCACATCCGTCCCTGGCTGCGGAGTGGAAGGTCAATGGCAAGGAGCGACAATTCTTGCTGGTAATGCGAAATGGCTCAAGATTAGTCAGATACCTGAGGTCGTCGACTTTGCAGCACGAGGTTTAACCATGCTCTGCGTGACGATCGGCGATGACCTGGTTGCAATCTTCGGCCTCAAATCGAGGCTCCGTGAAGGCGCGAGTGCCGTCATTCAAGAGCTTCATCGACGCAAGATAGCCGTTCACGTCGTCAGTGGCGATGCTCGCAAGGTCGTTGAGAGAGTAGCCGCCGACATCGATATCCCTTGGGAGAACGTCGCTGCCGAGAGAACTCCAGCACAGAAAGAGGAGTATATCCGCGAACTCATGGATGCCGGAAAGATTACACTGTTCTGTGGAGACGGTACTAACGATGCAGTTGCCGTGGCTCGAGCGAGCGTCGGCGTTCAGATCGAGTCCTCCTCGGACGTTACCCGTGCCACGGCTGACGTTGTCCTTCTCCGCAACCTCGACGGCGTGGTCAATTTGCTTGATGTGTCGAAGGCGGCATTCCGGCGCATCACCTTCAACTTCATCTGGTCAGCCGTGTACAACGTGGTTGCCATCTTGCTCGCGGCCGGGGCCTTTGTCAAGTTCCGGATCCCACCTGCTTACGCTGGTCTCGGCGAGATCGTCAGTGTACTGCCGGTCATTTTTGCCGCGTTAACTCAGCCGAAAGTGAAGGCGAGGACTTGAGGCTGTAACGCCACCGGTGTTGATGACAATGGGTGAAGTCGACGATTTGAAGGGGAAGTGCTGTGGAGGGGTGGCGCTGCGAATCAGAAAAGCTAGTGTACTTCGGCCGCAGATCGCTCTTTACATCGAGGGAAGTCGTTCCGCTCGTTATTTGATCATGCCTTTGGTCTTGAGGAGAAAGGATTTATGTGAGGCGCGAGAAGATTCAATTCTAAACGCGTCATAGACGCAACGGAGAAACAATTTTCTAGGAAACTAAGTTCTATGTAGTTGGTGGTGACAATAATAGGATGGACAGAAACGACCTTGCGTGCCAAGATGGAAATTGAGGACCTTAAGAAGTGAAAGCGCCTAACTCGAAACGTGCATCATCCGTGCCAATCAAATTAATCGACATCCCGGCCCGCAGGTGTCCCTGCATATCCCAAATCGAGTTAGATCCCGGATCACGTGCCACTGAGGTGACTGCCTGGCCGGCAGCCTGTGGCGTTAGGCAGCATGGAGGCAGCCACGACAACTATAAACAACTGTATCTGCTGCCATAGACAGTTTCATAATCATCACTTGTACTCTTAGTTCAGAGCTTCAACTAATCGGGAGGGGTCGGGGTAGTGAGACACACACACACACACACACACACACACACACACACACACACACACACACACACACACACATTTGCGATCAGGCCGGATGAGGATAGTTGCCGAGACCCTCTCTCCTCTCTCGCTCTCGTGTACGGAGGCGTGCACAAAATGAAGTTACTAGCGCTAAATTGGAATGACACAATAATTTGGTCATGATAAAGAATTTCTGATCTCTCTGGGCATTGGTCGCTTATAAAAGGCTAGAGTCTTACTTAAATAGGTACGTACTTAGAGTGTTACTGAGTAACAAGGCGATAGGCGTAATAAGGGTAAGAGCGCCTAAAAGGTAAAATTGGACTCACATAATTATTGGTCTTTTGACTTTCTGTCATTCCAATTTCGGTTTAGCGTCGGTAACTTCATTTTGTGCACGCCTCCGTAGAACTCGTAGCAACGAGGTCCTGCTTCCTGCTTTTTTTTTGTGTGTGGGGGGCCAAAGCAGTGCAGTGATCTGAAGGTTTGTTACCCTTTTAACTGGCAATACCCACTCTAGTAAGTTCCACGGTAGACGGTCGTCGCTCGGAACACATCTCATGCGCTGAGAGCTTCTTGTTAATCCGCTTCAAATGTCCAGTTCTGTAGCGGCAGGGTTTAAAGGTCGGGACTTTGTTCATGCCGCTTTTTGGCTTGTTGTGCGAACAAGATCGGGTAACGATAGGACGTACGGTAACACCAATACCATAGCAGAATAATACAATCAGTGATTGGAGCTTGGCTTTGAGCCTAGCTTCTCTCGATATGGAAAGAAGTGGGTCGCAGGTATCTTGGCAGGGAATTTAAGAGAGTTGCAATGTGTCTTTGAGGGGAGGCCATTTTCGGGAACGACTGTACTATTTGGGTAATGCGAGAGGGGAACAACTGTAGTAGTTCAGTGCGTACGACCTGAGAGGAACGCTGGAAGAATATTGCGATTGTATTGAAGAAGGCTCGCGCACGACGCGTCTGGGGAAGGCTGCAGATCCGACGCGGTCGACGCGCCTTAGCGTCGGCAGCAAAACCCCGATTGGACGATGACACTATCAACACCACCTCGCCCGAAAAGAGCGACAAAACCAAGTGCGAAGGCCATTAGAAATTAAGAGACACGGGCGACCATAGAGATATTGGACCGCGATGGACAATTGTCACCCTTATACGAAGGGAATATCGAACCCTCCGCACAAGATGGCAGCGCAACAGACCTTCGGGCGCTCATTCAACTCATCGCCGACCTAAAAGAGACTATAATACGACAAAGCAATATTATTGAGAACCAAAATAATAGCATTAAGAACATCCAAACGGAATTAGTCGAAATTAAAGCGGAGCAGCGAACTCTAAAAAGTCAGAACCTAGAACTACAAGATGAGGTTCGCTGCCTCCGGACATAACTCGAGTCATACTCCGCATCGCTCCCTTCGACACGCTCATAGGCGTCGATAGTTACAGGTAGAAAGACTACCCAATCGGCGACTGGCTCCTCACTTGCCATAGGCAGTATCAATACGAATACAGAACCAAAATGCCTCCGGATTAGCACGCAGGCAAGAAACGATGAGAATAACACGGCGGATAATACCTTCACGCGATACCTCCCCACCAACGTCGCCAACGAACAAATCAAGAATACCCTCCGGAACACAGATACAACTAAGGAAGTGCAAGTGGCGGGAGTAGGAAACACTAGAACTGAATACGTGATCAGATTCAAGAATAAAAAATCGACCGAGACTGCCAAGGCAAACACCGAGTGATTAGAAGTGTTAGGAAATGGTACAAAGTTGGTTAAGCCACGATTCGGGATTGTGGTTCATCGCCTTCCAACTGAAGGCGTCTCACTACCAGAGAACAAGCAAGAAACCATTAACAAAATCACAGAAGAGAATGACCTCACGGCCAAAGGCTGCCACATCAAGGATATCGCATAGCTCAAGAAGACTGACAAACCGTTGGGCACGCACGCCTCCCTAGGTGTATGATTTAACACAGCTAAGGCGGCTAAATAGGCGATTAATAATGGACTGGTCTATGGACAACTATACATCGGGAACGTGAGGGCCTATAAGTTCGAAATGAAGAGATGCCACAGATGCCTGAGAGTAGCTGGCCACCTCGCGTGGTCCTACAAAGAGACTTTGAGATGTCGACACTGCGGTGGAGAGCATGATCGACGGGACTGTCCTCCTGGCACAGAGGCCAAATGCGTGGACTGCAATGGACCATATCCGACGGGGGACAAGGAATGCAGAGAGCCCGCCGCCATGAACTCCTGACAATGAATCTGACCAACCTTCGGATACTACAAGTGAACATTATGAAATCAAGAGCCTGCATGGAAGCGCTCATTAATAACCCTAAAACGAACAATCTGGACGTGCTCCTAGTACAAGAACCACCGGTCACAGCTTACCGCACACACGTCTTTCACCGATTGTGGCACCTATATCAACTAACGTATGCCGACGACGGAACCAGGAAACGTAGCCTCATCTATATTAACAAGAGGATTTCGACCTTAGCCCATTAACAAATACACTATAACTATCCAGACGTAACAGTAGTGAAGATCTAGAACGAAGAGGCACAAATGCTACTGTTCTCCGTATATATCCCCCCGATTAACTACTACCAACCGGTGGAGCCGGTAGCTATACAACCTACACTAGATAAGATCCAAACTTGCATTCAGGAAGAGAGACGAAGCACCGACAAGCAGACGATGCTCACCCTAGCCGGAGATTTCAACCGCCACCACCCGGCCTGGAGTGGTAATAGAGTGCACCACCGGGTGATGGCGCAGGCAGACGAATTGATCAACTTCATCCACGCGCAAAGACTCCAGCTGTGCCTACCACGTGGAACCCCGACTTTTTGGTCGTTCAGTCGGCTAGTCAGGACATCGACAATCGACCTAACAATAACAAGCACACCCGCACAACTTATTAAATGCCACCTTTACGAAGACAACTTTGAATCCGACCACCGAGCTACATATACCGAATAGAACCTAACCGTGGAACTTAGAGGGGAACTGAAGCCGCGGAAGGCATACGAACGAGCCGACTAAGAGAAGATTGGAAATATAGTCCGAGTCGGCATGGGCCGTGTCGCAGACATCGAATCCAAACCCCAGCTAGAACAAGCGGTCGACAAACTAATCGAGGTGACGGCCGTAGCAGTGGACCAATACACACCGCTAGTAAGACCGTATCCGTACTCGAAACGCTGGTTTACTCCGATACTCAAAATTCAACAGAGAGAGGTCAATCAAGCCCGTAGAAGATGGCAAGAAAGCTGTATACGTAGAGAGAAAGAGGATCTATACTCGATTAGACTCCTAGAAGTAATGTGGGTTCGACGTCGAGAATGGACTCGAACGATCGAGCAGGCAAAAGCGGCACACTAGAAGGAGTTTCTCGATAAAGCCAACTCTAAGACGCTATAGAAAGCGACAACGTATCTTGGACCTCGAGATAACTACACCAGCATCCCGCCTTTGAAGATCGGCGAGACGGAGTTTCTAGATAACCAAGATAAAGCCCGAATCTTGATGGAGTGCTTCTTCCCAAGGATAACCGACCTAACCCCCGAAGAGGAGACTACCGTGAAGGAAGAGATCCCTTGGGAACCCATCACTAAAGCTGAAATCTGTAGAGCCCTCAAGGCGGCCAAGAAAAACACTGCTCCCGGCTAAGACGGTCTACCAACCATAGTCTAGCAAAAGATCTAAAGTTACATCTCGACCATGGTGACCAAAATCTTCACAGCGTCAGTCAACCTAAGATACTACCCAGAAAGATGAAAAACCGCTATAATTGTGGTTCTGAGGAAACCCGGGAAAGCCGACTACGCCGTTCCGGGAGCATATCGTCCTATCTCGCTTCTCAACACACTAGGGAAATTACTTGAGGCGGTCATGGCTAAGCGCCTATCGTACTATACAGAGAAGTACGGACTATTACCTAACACCCAATTCGGAGGCAGATCGGGACGGACGACAGAACAAGCATTACTCGTCCTAGCTAATGCTATTAACCGAGTATAGTTGAAAGGAAGGGTGGTTACACTAGTGGCATTTAACCTGAAAGGAGCCTTCAATGGAGTGAACAGCACAACCTTGGATGCCCGTCTCAAAGAAAGAGGCATACCGACAACAGCAAGGAAATGGATCTAAAGTTTCATACAAGAACGATACGTAAACATCATGTTTAACGGCTTTGAAACTGAGACCGCTCCTCTAGACAACGCAGGACTGGCCCAGGGTTCGCCGCTATCCCCTACCCTGTTTGCCTTCTTCAACTCAGACCTCGTTAACTAGCCTGTCGACTTTAGAGAAGAGGCATTAGCGTACATCGACAACTACTTCCGCTAGAGAGTCGGCCGTTCCGCGCAAGAGAACATCAAGAAAATTCAGGAAGAGGATATCCCGCGCATCGAAGCATAGGCACGACGTACAGGGTCTCGATTCGCAGCCGAGAAGACCGAGCTCATACACCTAACTAGAAACAAACGAGAACTTAAGTAGGGCTATATCATCATAAACGGATAAATTATTCAGGCATTATCGACAGCCAAACTATTAGGAGTCGTTTTCGATCAAGAATTGAGATAGAAGAATCATATCCAGCAAGCCATCAAAAGAGCAACCAAGACCGCCATTACATTAGACTACTTAAGATATCTCCGGCCTACTCAGATGAGGCAAGTCTACCAAGCGTGTGTGACCGCCAAACTCGACTACGCATCGACAGTATAGCACAATCCCCTCAAAGATAAAGGACATCTAAAAGCTCTGAGCACGGTACAGAGGACGGCCCTAATCAGGATTCTCTCGGCATTTCGGACAGTCGCCACACAGACTCTAGAAGTGGAGTGTTACGTGACACCTACGCGGCTTCGACTCAAACAGCGCGCTTAGAACGTCATTGCAAGTCTCAGCACTCTACCGCACGATCATCCGATACACGAGGTTCTCGAGAGGATAAAAGGGAGGGTTAAGCGAAAGAAAAATCACCCTAAATTCCCTTTCGCTGAGGCGATGAGAACGATGGACATTAACCAACTGAAAGACTTAGAAATTATCGACCTACGACCACTAGAACCGTGGAGGCGACCTGTCTTTGACGAGATAAATATAGAGATAGACAGAGAAGTAGCGATCTAGAAGGCCACTAACCTCCTAAAGACGTCGGAAACAGTCATCTACACCGATGCATCAGCTAAAGACTCGAATCTGGGCGCAGCAACGGTGATACTAAGCTCGAGCAACGTGAGACGAAGTTGGCAAGGCGGCATTGGCCCGGCCAAATACTAGAACATCCACGTGGCCGAGCTAATTGCAATCCATCAGGCCGTGAAAATAGCATAGAGCGAGGTCGACGGGGAAATGGCTCAAGATAAACTCTCAACGGGGAAATTCACCATTATTAGCGACAGCCAATCAGCACTACAAGCGATCGCAAGGCCGTCGAACAAGTCTAGACAGGCAATAATTCACCACATACTCGATCAAGCGAAGAAACTCAAAGAACATCAAGTCCAACTATGTTTATAGTGGATCCCGGGTCATTGTGACAACCCAGGGAACGACACCGCCGATAAGCTGGCGAAGGAAGCTGTCAGTGCAGAGGAAGGCCACGAATTCCGGCACCTAGTGTCTACATTTAAGAGAACTAATCGGGACAAAATGCTCGAAGAATGGCAAAAGGAGTGGTGCTCGTCGATAAAAGGCAAACATCTACGTAAAATCGACAGCGGATTGCCATTTAAGCGGGCTCAGCGACTATACGGCCTATTGCCTCGAAATCGAGCATATTTACTCACATAACTTCGGACGGGCTATTCCTGGCTAGCAACATTCGCAAAGCTCCATTAGTTTGCCGAGGAAGACCGGTGTGAATGCGGGGCAATCGAGACAGTGGTGCATATCCTGGTGAACTACCTAAAATTGAGGACACTGAGACAGTAGTTGCAGAAGAAGGTAGGTGATGCATTAGACAGCATCTCACTTATGCTCGGGGGGATAACCCGCAACGAGCAAGGTAATGTAACAAGCAGGTCAATCAACAGAGACGTTGTAAATACGGTACTAGATTTTGCGGATGCGTCACAAAGATTCCGATCTAGAGCACCGGAAGGGTCTCGACGGCTAGGCCGAAGACAAAGAGCATGATATAGGCCCCAACGAGGCACAAACTTCGCTCATGCAATGGAACAAATGTACGATAGATTTTCAAGGATAGCGTCAGCAGCTGATCCTGCATATCCTTCGGGAGAGGTCAGGGTAAATGAATAAACAAACAAACAAACACTGTATGTACTGTATACATATGTGCGACCCCACCACGATTTCGCTTTGGAGGGAGCCCGTTATGGAAGCCATCCGCTCTCGTATCAACCTACCGGCCCAAGTTCGGAGGGACCGCTTTGGGACTTCAAGTGTTGGCTTGAGCTGGGGGGCTGAAATGGGCAGATATTTACAAGGGAACCCGAAAAGATCCTATCTTTATCCTGAAGTGGTGTTAATATTTACTGCTCGCAGAGCTGTGTTCTAATTCTCTGTCATACTGTGGACCGTCCTGAATCCACACATGAGGAAGGAAATCTCTTCAACGGGCAGGAAGACATAAACAGGGATTGTGTTCCACGAATGGCAAATCGTCCGTCCAAGAACCAAAAGCGAACCCAGTGGAATCGAAAATGTCGAGAAAAGTTAGCGGCAAACATTCGTAAGATCCACTGACGTCGGGTCGATGCCTCTGATAACGTCTCTGTAGACAGCAGGCTTGGAATTACGGTCGAACCCTCCCAGGTACGGCTCAAAACAAACGACGACGATCCATATACATGGGAAAAAACCGAAGCGATAAGCCACCTCTTTACACAGAACCTGAGTGAATTCTCTATTAAGTCTCTCCAAAAACTGTGTGAATGTATCGACGATAACTGTGTCGCCGCAACTTGGAAGCCTTCCGGCAAGGCACCTCGGACGACCCTTCGAGGACATATGCAGGTAGACAGACCTGTTGTGCATGTTTTTCACCCAGGCTATCAGGCTGACCGAATATGTGAAAGCAGGGCCATTTCGTGAAATCAAACGTGAGTTTCACGGCCAGGATTATCGAGCTCGAGAAGACCGAGGAGAGTTTAGCCCGCGAGCTGAACGAGTGGAAGGCACAAGCCAGCCTAGAGTCGGAAGGGAGACAGAAGGCAGAAGAGGAGGCGGCTCGAATGGAGATCGCCCTTCGAGAGGCCCGAGAGGATGGTCGAAAGCTCGAAGGGTATATCCAGAAATGGAAAACCGAGGCAAAGAAATCCAGTGACAATGCTGCTAAGTCTAGGGAAGTCATAGACGCAATCCTTACCTTGCTCAAGGACTTCGGTTCGAGCATTCAGGAGGAGTCCCTTGGCCCAAAACCGAGTCCTCGGACATAGGAATTCAGCAGCTTCAGATACTTTGCACTATTTCGAACCTGAAAACCTGTGGGTCGGGGAACCTCGTTGCGTTCTAAGTGATCATCCGCAATGCCCTCGTTGGCATCGTCCTTGGAGCGCACGCATCAAGTCGCAGTGATCACTCTCTGCGAGCTCAGCGACTGGAAAAAGGGACCATTTTGGGCTCGCGGCTTGATTTGGCTCCCTTGATCTTCCACATACTCCCAATACTTAGGGCCATTTTGGGACGCTGTCACCCTCGATGACCTCGCTAGATCACCAAAGGCTTGTGGCTTACTAGACACTCTAGTTCTGCCATTTTAAAAAGACACCGTACAGCACCGCATCTCGCTCAACTAGACTCGGCCTTTCCCAACAGGTTCTCAGGGAGCTCACAGCCTTCATCATGGCTAGCTTGAGACGACTCGTCCTTGCCGTGGCATTGTTCGGCATCTCTTCCGTTGCCTGCCTCGGGACCGCTGCTATCGAGAATCGGTGTGATGTCGAGGTCTATATCTGGAGTATTGCAAATGTCCCCAACGACACAATTAATTATCTGGAGCCAAATATCGGCAGCTACAACGAGACATATCGAGTTAACCCAAACGGTGGAGGCATCTCGTTGAAGATTGCCACGGTTCCCGACGATTCGTTCATCACGCAGTTCGAGTACACCTATCACCCTGAAAATCCGATACTGGCGTATGACATCTCGAATATTAATGGGTATCCGTTCGAAAACTGGGGCCTCTACCTCTCACCGTCTTCCGGGGACTGCTCTAGCATCACCTGCGACCCGGGCGTCGCTCTTTGCCCAGATGTTTACAACCAGCCAAATGATGACTTTGCCGTCAAATCCTGTGACGTGTCGGCCAACTTGACTCTCACTTTGTGTCCTCCTCAAACCACGTCCTTGGAGACGGCCACAGTGACTGTGACGACGACTGACTCCGCGGGTGATGCCATCCTGACGACTCTGGCGACGACTATTACGTCGGTTGGACCCGTGACTACATCTCAAGGCGCAGTACCCGAAACTGTTACCGTGGACACAGAAAGCTCTTCTACGACGACGACAACGACGACAGCCCTAGAGCCTGTTGTCGTGACTTTGATGACAACCGACACCGCCGGCGATCCTACTTTGACCACTCTGACGACCACCATTACGTCGGTTGGGCCGGTGGTCACCTCTCAAGATACAGCATCAGAAATCGTTACTACGGACCCGGCCACCGCGAGCATGGTCACTATCAGTTCAGAAACCATTCTTAGAGCCTCGGAGACGACGGACGCTGCTGGTCAACTTTCGCTGACCACACTCACCACCGTAATTGCAGTTACTACCCTGGATTGATGGAAATCTCATGGATTATCGAAAAGTGATGACTTGTATTAGCGGAACACAGAGTGCGAAGATAGGGACATTCACAAATGCCGGGCAACTGGATCCCTCCCGAGGGGGATGGGGGGAGGGCGCTGCTCTGGGGTATGTAGCTGCTGCACAAGTACGAATTTCTACATATATGGAGTCTTTATGTATCGGTAGCTATTCATTGTTGCCGATAGGGCAATTCAGAGGACAACATCACTAATTTGACAGATTTGCTTGTGCAGGAGCTGGCCATACGTGAGAATGTCTCGCAGAGATTCTGTTTAGTCCCCCATGGTGCAACCTCTGATTTTTTAGACAGAGCAAGGTTGCCAGATTGTGGACGCATTAAAAACGTTCTTCTGGGCCGGAACTGATACATTACAAAGTTTCCAAGTGTGAACATGGAATATTGTGGCCCTGACCTATTTCTTTTGAATTTCGCGATATGCTTGTTCCGCCCTAACGCACCGAGGGCAAGCCAATCAGCACTCAGCCGTTTTCTCCCTTGCCGTTTCCGACCACTGCGCCTGCGCCTTCTCACTTCCATGGCATCGATGTCTCCATCTGCGTAAAAATGTCAAATAAACAGCCTGAGAGCTCGATGCTCTTCGGCTTCATTATTCAACCTCGCAGAACTCCTCGGCGGCCTCATGGATCTCCTGCATTCTCAAGATTCACTGACCAGGCCTGCAGCTGATCCAGGTGAACATTTTGAACATTTTGAGCGTTCTGGCGCTGGCTGCTTTCCTCAGGCTGGACAGATCATAAGCGCCTATTGAGACCTCCACATCTTGCCGCGCCTTGTTGCACATTCCAGAAATCCCAAACAACCTCCGGCGAACCCGCTCTTCGAAGAGCTCGTCTACGCTGGCCCCAACTGAAGCGGCAGCCTGTCGAAGCGCTCACTTTCAGCGAAGACTCGTATCTTCGTCTAAGCCTGTCTCTACTGTTCTATTCAAGAGGTGGCCTACAAAAGGGGGATTGAGGTGGTCGAGGAACACTTATACCGTTTAGTGTCGCTAAGGACGGTCGGCTGCTAAAGAATCAAACCGAATCGCTTGTCGGGTAACGACATGGCTTCAAGCCCAGATACTGGTCCACGAGGGCTCGTCGCAGTCAACCGCACCTCCAGCAACGGTAGGTGATCCAGTCGTTTGCCACCGATGTCCCCGCTAACCACGTCGTCGCAGAAAGCAGTACTTCTGGCCGGCTGTCATCCCCCCAAGTCCAGTCGCGGAGGAATGCCGAACGTCCTCCACAGATCAACGGCAACACGTACTCACAATCGCGTGGTCAGGGACGTGCTGGGCGGAAACGGAAACGACCTCAGTTGGAGATCTCTCATCTAAGTCGCCGACGTGTCCACCATGACGGCGGTCAAGGATTACCTATACCCATTGACGACAGTGGTGGGCCACGCCAGCCGTCGTATGGCAGCAGCCCGCCTCCGAGCGAGACACAAAACCGACCACCCTACCCTGGTCAACCACAATGGCCGTCACAACAAAGTCAAAATTCTGATGGCTCAGAACATCCTCCCTCTCATTCTGCGGTCAATAGATCAGAATTACCACCTGCGCCAAACCCACGAGATACGTCCAGACCGCCAACGGATGCCAGTTCTTACCCTCCACATCCTCCAGCTTCTTATCAAGCTCAGCCTCCAGCTCAAATGCCGTATCCGCAGTATGCCGTACCTCAGCCTCCAACCACTGATGTTACGGCCCCACCATCAACTCCTCTGCTACAACGGCCACGCTGGTGGCAACAGTCGCAGCAGCCTCCATATCCGCCTATGTTCCCTGCCCCCTCTTCAAGTCATCCCACTCCTGCAGCTAATACACGAGTGTCTTCCTCCGGCTTCCATCCTAGCTCCAGCTTCAAAGTTTCAAGTCGAGAAGACGTGGAGAAGTCCAAGATGCTGAGGTCGGTGTATTACAATCACTTTGATCCGACCCTGCAGTATGAACGTCAACGATGCGGGCGGGCCGTTGAACGGTACAATGCAGCCTGCAAGCTGGACAGTGGGCTTTCCGAGCAAGGAGTGCGCGACGTATTGATCAAGGTCATTGATCCAAGCCAAGACACGACGCACAAGTTCCCATCACAACATCATGGCAAGGGTCATGTTGGTCTCGGAGTCCAAATCGAGGCACCTTTCACGTGCACATATGGGTACAACCTCAGAATCGGGGATGATGTGTATGTGGGTAAGGGCTGCACATTTGATGATGCCGGCATAATTGAAATAGGACCTCGAACAGTCATCGGTCCTGGCGTCACCATCTTGACGACCGACTACTGTGACGACCCTGTCCATCGAAAAGGGACAAAGGGGTACTGGATTGCCAAGGATGTGTACATTGCTTCGGGAGTGATCATTGGCGCTAAAGCTGTGATCTATCCGGGTGTGAAGATCGAGGGAATTGCCACGGTAGACCACTGCGCTGTTGTTCGGAGCTAGATACATCGAGCTAACGCCTCTGTTCAATAGTAGATATACCTTGTGGCAATATTGCATCGTATATAAATACCAGCGCCCCTAAGACCCTCCCTATCAAAGTTATTATAATATAACATAAAAAATGTCGTTACTACTAGGATCTCTTTGCCCCTTTCTCTACCAGCAGCTTGACCACCGCCTCGTGCCCCTTCGCGGCTGCTAATGAGAGCGGCGTCCAGCCGAAGTGCTTACTCTTCGAGTTGACGTCGACCTTGCCCGTCGCGAGCAGCTGCTTCACCACCGCCGTGTGCCCGTTCGCCGCTGCTAATAAGAGCGGCGTCCAGCCGTCGTTATCTTTCGAGTTGACGTCGACTTTGCCCGTCGCGAGCAGCTGCTTCACCACCGTCTCGTGCCCCCACCTGGCTGCCCACGAGAGCGGCGTCCGGCCGTTGTTACTCTTCGAGTGGACGTCGACCTTACCCGTCGCGAGCAGCTGCGTCACCACTGCCTCATGTCCCTCTCCTGCCGCCCATGACAGCGGTGTCCGACTAGACTCGTCCCCGGCCTCCAGCTCAGCGCCTTTCTCCATCAACTGCTGTGTGAAGTTTACATGTCCGTCTCTCGCAGCGTACGATAGCTCTCTCCTTCCGTGACTACAGAAATCCAGAGCAGTAGGGTTCTGCCATGGACAATCAGTAATTTGCTCGTGCGCCCCCTGAGGTTCAGTATGACTCCACGGATCTGTGGTTGCGGCTGCCCAAAGGCCTTCATTCTCTGGAGAATGGAAAGACGGTAGGACCTCGAACCCTTCGTCCCTTGGGCAGTGACCGCACAAAGCCGCTCCGATCAGTTGGTGATGTAGGTGCTTTGGAAATTCCCAGAGAGAACTAACTTGTCTGATATCTAGCAGCCAAAACAGAATCAGCGCCAACCTACTGATATGGCAAACCACTCTAACTTGCAATGGCTTTGTTGATCCGTTTTGAGCACACCTTTGGATCCCATATTGAGTGATTTCTTCTATCAGTTTCATTGTTTTCGAGCATAGTCCCATCTTCTTCCAGTAAGACTCTCCCGTAGGATCCGGCTGGTTAATAAGCATACCGGCGACTGCTGTCTCCGGAGGCCTGAACGCAATGTAAATTCCTTTTGGTGATTGGGGCGTTAATTGTAAGCTGTAGATTAGATCCCCCTGCCGTAAGGTTGCATTGCCATAGAGAATTCCGTTCGCAGAATCTTGAAGTCGAACTTCAAAAGGTAGAGAACAGGACGGATGAAACGTGGATCGAATTCTCTCTTCTCGAAGAGCTTCTTGGACTATGATCCCTGTATACTCGAAAACAGCATAAAGCCGGTCATCTTTGCCGCGTGTCGACCGGCCATCTTCGTAACTTTGGTTGGATTCTAACGAGCTGAGTAAATCTTACTTCGTTAATTGGAGGCAATTTTGCAGCCGACTTGCAGCTTGATGTGGCCATCGATATCCTGACATTAGTGGCAGAACTCTCTCTATGGGCAACATAGACAGGATTCGGAAGTATATATCAGCTATAGACTCACTGTAGCTCGGTAATAAATCATGTCCGTCTCTTGCAATGCCACGCAGCGCGAACGCCTTATCACGTGAATCGATATAACGCGCATTCTGAAATTGCTCCATCAACTCTAATAAGCTCTTTAGTTCTTTCTCAGGTGATCTCAAGTCTTGAAATTTGTCGATCGTTTATTTAAGCGTTTGTCGAGTAAAATCGTCGTTCATTAGTACCTTGTTATTAATCTCCGCAAGGTTAATCCACTTGGTCTGACGTTTTCCACAGAGAATAGTCAGTTCTTTTGCTAGAGCGAATTCTTGAATAATCCATCGCCGTGTCCAATATAAGGCTCGAAAAAGCTTTTCAGCGCCTATCGAGAATGTTTCTTGGTCAAAGCCAGTCTAGGGCTCAGCATCTTCAATATGCTCAATAGCATAGCTCATATCATTATCTCCTCGACCGAGCCAGACATATACTCTTTAGGCCGTGTCGAAAATCTTGTTCATAATGGAGACTTAACGACTGCGTTCCACGTTGTCATCCTAGTTGATGCAGATAGCGTCAATCCACAAGTTTATGTCTGGATTCAGGAGTTTCATAGTCTTGAGGAATGAGTACAATGTCGGCCTGATCCGAACAGACTCTCCATCAATGAAGATCTCCTTCAATGCAATGTCTGGTACCGGCGCACCCCAGAAATATGTCACAGCACAATGCTCAGGAAGACCTTAGAGCTTTTTATGTTGTATGCTGTATCGCAAACATTTGGAGTCGGTCGTTTTCTCGAGGCGAAGAAAACGTATCTCCGTGTCAGGCTCTAGTGACTTAAAGCCTAAATACTTTCGCCATTAGTCCGCATTGATCTCATATGCTTTAGATTGTACCATGTTTCCTGGCAACCACAGTGCAAAGGTTGTCAAGCCTGTTTAGATGTATTCTACGAAGGCTGTCGGTCTTGGGAGGATTGAGTGCCGTTAAGGTATTCGCTCTCATTGGTGTTTATAAACTTGTAACAGTCGCGAACATTGTCCAGTACGGCAGGCCAGGCCCACAGCTTGAGGAGTCAAACTTTATCGGCCCACTTCGCCTACGTCGGCGTGGCACATGGAGGAGGAAGAGGGCTTCGGGAATGGCCAGATTCTGTTCGGGAACTTCGGATTTGCTCTTAGGCAGAATGCAAGTAGATTCTGGTAAGTCCTACACGCGTGAGGAAAGCGACAAGGACTCGTAAAATCATGCCCAGAGAAGAGATCTAGGCGCTGAGAATCGCATCACCACGAGGGAAGATCCGGATGGCAAGAGGCACGGACCGCGGGGTTTATCAGTTACGAAGCTGAATTCGGGTGTCGGGCTGGCTTTCAGGCTGGCTCCGTGGCAGAGAAAAGCACGATCGCGATTTCGAGTATCACGTGCAGACGCAGCGACCACTGAGGCGGCGAGAGTGTTGAGCCGCAATGCTGTGGCCGATGGTGGACTGGCGGCAGTCATGTTACTTGTCGCTTACAGGGCAGCGTATTCGGTTCGGTCTTCGGCTGTTTGCCAGTAGGGTCGAAAGTACCAGATAGGGCCGGTCTGCGACCAAAGATGTGCCGCAGGTGTAGTACACCTTTAATGATAGGTGTGATAATTGGTCCTATAATACATGTGCGCAGCGATTCCCAGTATATCCTGTGATATAGCTAACGGAAACAGTATTGCCGTCTTTTGAGAGACGAGACGATTCAGGTGCCATTTTGACGGGCCAAAGCATTGAGGCCTATTCAAATTCTTGGTCAAAGCTATATGTGGCAAGTACAATGTGAAGAAAGTCAAAGTACCGCTGGCCCATTTCATCATGCAGGGCGTTTCACCACGCCGGGATGTCGATTACTATAGTAGTTCTCCACGGCCTAAAATTTCAGAATCCAGTCGCTGTTAGGGCCAATTTCGTCACCTGAACAAATTGATGGAGTCTGTATACGGCTCTGGAAAAGTAGTGAGAACCAGATCCGGCACCCCCAGGAGCCGAATATAGACCCTCTTTTCACATTAAGCCTGAGAGAAAGTCCAAGTATATAGCACTTCCTCCAACTTCATTGTCTATCTAAGAAAAATACTGTCAAGGAAACAATGAGCTCCTCATCAACATCCCTGCCGCTTATGGAATTTCCTAAGAATTCTTTGTCTCCCGCACCCGCTGCTGAGGTGAAACGGACTCCAGCATCCGAGGAGTATACGCAGCAAGCGACATTTTCGCAAAGACGATATGTGACCATTCTCCCTCCAAAGTCCAGGGAACAGCCGTCTCGTTCAGACTCTAAGTTTCCACAGGCTCCTCTCCCACTGCCTTCGTTTCAGGAAAACAAGGCTCGTCTCCCTAGGCCACTGTCGACGAATCCGCCACGCTCACAATCTCGATATGTGACAATGCTCTTAGAGCTTGATGACATTCCACGTCGCCACAACTTCTATGCCAGCCTGTTGACGTGGTTGATCCTGGCTGGATACATTGTATTCCCGGGAACGTTTACCTCTCTCAAAAGCTCCAATTCGGTGCAAGAAGCGGCAAGCGAGACTCACGCAGGGAAAATTATTCTAGACAGCGTTCAGAATGCCTCGCTCCTCTGGATAGCAGGAGCCTGCTGTCTCTTTGGAGTCGTTGGCATCGCTTTACTCTGGAAAAGATGGAAGAGGAACTACATTTGGTTGGTAAATCGAATATTCTTGTAAAGACTACCTAGCTAGCAGCTGAAAGCGGACACTGACCTTATGATATCAGGCCAACTCTGCTCAATGCCATTCTCGGTCTCGTCAATACACTGATCAATGTGTACACCGCTAAGGACGGGAACTGGTCCGTGACTGCGACCATCACGGTTACAATTACGAGTGCGTGTGCAGGGATAAGCTTGGGTTTATTTCTGGTCTATAATAATTGGTTATTGTATCAAGTCAAGAAGGACCACGATGCTCAGATGGGTAATGAGGTTGGAACAGAAGTGTCATCACGACTGGCATAATGGGCTCGGAATCTTCATTATCTAAAAGCGATGCTACAAGGCGGAGGAAGGGAGTTACTTTTGGACTATGACATGTTTCTTCGAAAAGTTGAGACGTATCTATCGCATAGATGGTCGAACCGCTCATAACATCTTGACTATTTAGGATTGAATAAGCTGGGTATCAGGACCGTCGCCGCAAATTGGCAAAATGGCACTGAGGACTGTAGGAACTGGGATTGCTTATATCTAGCATACGTCCTATTGACAACGACTCAACGCCTGAGAAAGAAGAAGAGTCAGTTCCCACTCGTTTCGGGTGGGAGAGGCTTCTTATGTAATACGGCTGTAGCCGGCAGTCTCCTGTCTTCCCAGCCTCGCGTCCGAATCGTCCGCTACCTGTCCTCCCACCCGAACCGGGTGGAGGACTAGGTATCCTGGGAGGCAACGGTAAGTTCGTCAAGGTAGGTTCGCGACGCTAGGCTTGGCCTTCAGATCTTGAGCCCCGAACCAGTACATCAAAAATTCATTCTTCACAGTCTTGAATATAGCAGTCCACCCAAGTTCGAAATCTTTTGTAGGGTTTCAGGAAAACCATCCCATTAGCTCATTATGTCGTTGTGCTTAAACAGTCGTTACATACGCACTGGAGATGCCTCTGAAACCAGGGAAAATATTTCACAGACAACTATTTTCACACGAAACCACCAAAGCTTTCGAGCATTTCCTCAAACGGGGTTTCTTTCTCCACGCAAACGTCGTGCGAGCTGTATATCTTTGGATTCTAAAGACGTCAGCCAAGAATTTCCTCTCGTAGGAAGCAGACACTCGCTCACGAATAGTAACTCGTTTTGCGTGGATAGCGCAGAGATTAGAATCTTCGAAGAGGCTCACAAGATATAACTCGAGAGCCTCTTGCAGAGCTTCGATGGCCGTCGACTGGAACCGAAAACCACCCCCTTGCCATTTCATTTGGGGGGTTCTCAGATCGTCTGCAATTTCACGGACAAGCCGTTGAAAGGGACGTTTGCGAATAAGCAACTCTGTAGATTTCTGATAGCGACGAATCTCTCTCAGAGCAACCGTTCCTAGTCACCGTTAATCACAATTTCATTTACTCAAATACAAGACAATAGAAGAGCAGAGGAAAGCCCTACCTGGTTTGTATCGGTGCGGTTTCTTTACGCGGCCCGTGCTGTCAGGGAGGCGTTTTCCTGAGAGCTGATCATTCGCAAGGCTCCTTAAGTTCCTCCTTGGGGCAACACCCCCAGTGCTCTTTCCTGTATGTCATCCTCAACATAAATCAGGGACAATAATCAAGGACAAGCTTACGCGCGGTCTGTTTCGTCCTCGCCATGAGGGGACACTCGATAATGGGCCCCAAAGCAATTTGCTGGATGAGGATTTATTTAACCGTCATCACAGGGTCCTGATCTGGCTCGCTCGTGTGGCATTAATTTTTGGGGTCCCTTTTCTGGACTACTGGGACCGAACTGAGCTCCTAGAGTCCTTTTGCGCTCTATTCAACTGTTTGCCTTAAATGTGAGCATCTCACCTCTGGTGTCTGACCCCAGGTGAACCATCATTCATCTTTTGTTAGCAAGAGTGTCATCGAAACCGAAGTCCCGCGTGTCTCGCCCAAGCTCTCCCCCTACGGGTCGCTTCTCTTTGAAAACTTCTTCTTCTATTGACATGATGTTCTCCAACTCTATTGGCAAGACTGTCGTGGTTCTTCTTTGGTTGCAACGAACGTCCGCTGGACGAGCCATCCCACCCTTGCTCGACAACCACGAGTTAGCATCGAACAATACCGCAACAGGTCTTGAGCCTCAGCGGAGGAGTGAAGACTGGCCAGTGAATGTTGCATTTACCGCTGGCACGCAGACGCTTGGCTTTGAGCTCTCACGAGATGGCCAGGTGCACGACTTGGGCTCTATCGAATGTTTCGCACTTCCCTCGTATTCCATCGGCGACTGCAACGATATTAGTGTCTCTCAGATTGGTGTCACGTCAGGAACAGCACCATGCACATTCACGGGTATCGATGGGTTCGAAATCACAATTACGGCCGATGATAAGGGGTATATAGACGTTACTCCCCCGCAAAATATCCTCTCCGGTTCTTGTGGTTAAATGCAGAAGAGGAGAAGCTTATGGCAGAAGGGTGATTTGAGTTCGCAGGCAGTTGAAGGAGGCTAAACGTGCCAACACCCCCGACGAGACGAAGCGTTAAGTAGATTCCTGGCAATATAATCTCGTTTACGTGCAATCTGATTCCTTTCGAAAAACCATATAGGCGGAAGGAGGAAGGGATGCCCACAGCCTCTCCAAACGGCGGCTTCGGCCGCTCTTCACACATCCTTCAGTGAGTCTTCATGTGCTGTAACCTTCCTGCGAAGTAGAGTGCAGAAATATATTTGGAATTTAGCTGGTGGCGAAACGGTCTAATTCTATGTCTACATGAGCTTCCTGGGGAAGGGGAAACAGGAAAGGTGCTAGCTGCATCGTATCATAAATCCTAGCATGAATCGTCCGATGCTGACCAAAAGATGTAGAAACTGGGGAACGAAGAGCGAGAGTTTGCCACTGGTTGGAAATATTGAACATGGCAGTAGGTGAAAAGTTCATAGAAGAGCCTCTAGCATGGAAGTGCAGCTCAAGGCAGCAGGACCAACCGAGAGCCTCGAAGTACCATTGCCACCCACGACTCTCCCTCCTGTCTTCTCCTCTACGGGACCATTTCGATAATCTGGTGCAGATGCCAATTCAGGCTCCTGCTGGATACCTCTTCTGGCTCCAAAGTGGTATCATAGAGACTGTGAGAATATAAGAGTGCGAGTAAACGATGTAGAATCTCGGTCACTCGTCAGATTCCAACTCAAACCAATCTCCCTAGAACTCTTTTGGAAGATTAGGTTTCTCCTCTTTTGTGCTTTGGGTCAATCAACTACGAGCCATGGGCAAGATTGAAATCTCAACAGCGGAGGACTTCGAGAATTGTCGTCGAGAGTTCAGGAAACTCAGTCGGAGGCTTGGCAAAGATTTTAGCCCCGAAGACTGTGAAGATATGCTCTTTGAAGCTGTGGACTACGGATTCGCCTTCCTACTGTACTGCAAAGAACTTCAAAGCAAGCATGCTTCGAAGCGTCTCCGTGATGAGGTGGTTACTATCAGCGACAGTGACAGCGACAGCAAGTGCTCACCGCCATCATCCATGCTCGGAAGCTGATTACTCTCAGGCGGCGGTGCAGCCCTGACACCGAAAATCCCAGCCGTGGCAGTCAGCAAGAAACGTGCTCGAAGGAATGACACCGACAGTGAAGGTATGGACAGTTTGGTGAGCCTGCATTCTCAAAACTAACTTCGCTCCAGACGAGGATGATTCAAAGCCTTCGAAGAAGGTGCGAATGAACACGACCAAAAAGCGTACTCGAAATATGATGGAAGACTCCAGTGACGGTAAGTTTGCGGCTGGATCGCTCACTGCGCTTCACTAACTATTTCTAGACGGACAAACAGGGAGTTCTTCCAAGAAAGCCCGCCTGGGTGGACAGAAGGTGGAAGCTGCCAAAGTATTTAAAGAACTCGATGCGCTATTGAAGACAACCGTCAAAGGATCAAAGTAGGGTCAATTCTAGAGCTAGTGAGACAGAATGACGCAAGGAAGAGTTCAGGCGGGGAATGCCGACGATAGGAAATGAGGAATTCAGCAGGCCCTGGATGCAAGGAAAGGACGAGAGAAGGGGAGCTGAAAAGAAGCAGCCAAAGAAAGGTGAGAGGAGCGGAGGATCGACCAATGTACACTCGTTTCGCCATGTTAAGTCCACCAAGAATAGTTTTCAATTGATCTGACCTGTCAAACATTATCATAGCATCAAATAAAGATCATATTCAGGTTGAAGAATTATGGATAGGGGTATAGACATGCTGAAGGGTGACCCAAGGGATGAGCTGTAAGGCGGCTATGTAGTGCAAAATCCTGTCATAAAAATCTCTGGTTTGAGGAGTTAGGTATTCCAGATTGCGAGAGAAATTCAACCTCGTGATTTGAAAATGGTCGACAATGGCAGACTTAGCGGCAATAGCGATGCCGCCTCAACTTCCTTCTCCATGCCTCACTATCCTGTTCTTTCAATCGGTAGTCATTCATCCTTGTGAGACACCGTTCATTTTCCCCTCCTGATATAGAAGCTTTCGTCACACCAACACAAACAACTCTCTCCTTCAGGACTAGGATTGTTGGTGTTCGAACAGCTATCAGCTACAGGTATCGTTCGTAGTGTTAAAATTTAATACTAGAAGATTTCGAAGATTGTCGTCACAAACCTTTGGGTCGAAAGAAGTTCCGTAGTTTAATACAGGGAGGATCTTCCTTTCAAGTGAGCTCGGAAAACATTGTTCTAGAGTACATGCAGGCTGTAGACAGATGTGTAGGGATGGACGTCTGTCTTAACCAATCACTGATCATGCTGCTGAGAGAAAGGTGTAAAGGAGAAATGTCCTCCGAAAGCTAGTACAATATCTTAGTGGGACAGGTTGTGGCTGGGGACGAGTTGCGTCTGGGGACAGGTTATGGCTGAGGACAGGTTGTGCCGGGGACGAGTTGCGTGTGGGGACAGGTTATGGCTGAGGACAGGTTGTGGCCGGGACGAGTTGCGTCTGGGGACAGGTTATGGCTGAGGACAGGTTGTGCCGGGGACGAGTTGCGTCTGGGGACAGGTTATGGCTGAGGACAGG